AGCGGAAGTCGGGGCAGGGAAAGGCAAGGCGGGAAGAGGGCTGTCTTGGCGTGCTTGCCGGGCAAGCCCACTTGATGGATGAGGTCTCTTGGGAAACAATGCCCCTTGGTTTGTGACTCCCCAAGCTCCCCCAGCACCCGGTGGCATGAAGAGCAGGCACAGGTGGGAAGTCACTTAGGTTTTAAAGAACTCCCCTTTTGGAAAAGATAACCTGATTGGACTCAGTCACCGCAGAGACCACGTTGTGCTTGCCCTGTGCCCTTAGGTAGCATTTGAACATTCTATGCATTGCATTTAAGCATTCTATGTGTCTCTGATCTCTTCCTGGCCTGGGAGGTGGTGACATCGTTGCTCCCATGTGACCAGTGAGCTGTGTCTTTCTGTCAGGGGGGCGGCTGTACTATGGGTGGAACTGTGACCCTCTAGAGAAAATAAGCACTGGAGTCAGCCCCTAGCACTTTGGAACGCACCCAGGGTCATTGCAGGTGTTCCTGGGTCAGACGAGGTCAGAAGGGCCTAGAAGGAGTCCCATGCAGTACAATGGTGGGTTTCCTTATATAAAGGCCGTCAGGCTGGGGTGGGCTCCTGAACAAAACTGCCTATCCAAGATTGTGTCTTCAGGCCAGAGTACTGTCAGGGAAAATGCACAGATAGGGAAAACAGCGAAGGGATGTGTGAACAGAGAGAGACACAGTGGGAGGCTTTGGGCCACCATGATCAGGAGAGCATCAACGAAGTCATATGCCCGGGAATGCAGAGACAGCTTGTGTGGACAGCATTCTCCTACAGAGATGCGAGCACAAGCATCCTTCTGTTCTTAACGGGGTGTGTGTGACTGTCTGTGTGTGTGTATGTGTGTGTTTGTGTCTCTGTGTGTCTGTGTGTGTGTGTGTCTGTGAGTGTCTGTGTGCATCTGTCTGTCTGTGTGTGCATCTGTCTGTCTGTCTGTGTATTTGTATGTCTGTGTGTGTATTTGTGTGTCTGTGTGTGTATCTGTGTGTCTGTGTGTGTATCTGTATGTCTGTGTGTGTATCTGTATGTCTGTGTGTGTATCTGTATGTCTGTATGT